TCAGCCTCCCTCTGTGCGCATGCCCCTTCCCCCTGCTCCCACGGAGAGGAGGCAGAGATGGTCCTCTCAGCGACTTCTGCCCAGGCGTTGCCCCCTTCCCTGGAGGGGTTCCAAGCCCCACCCCCTGGCAGATGCAAGCGAAACTCTAGTTTTATTGAGCATCTACTTATCCCAAGCAACATGGATGATGCCCCAGACCCAAAGCCATGTGCTTTCTACTTCTACCTGAGCAAACATAACCACCAAAAGCAGATCAGGGAGTGAGATGGTCCCCCACATAGATAGCAAGGGTTTGGGGGAGAACATGGGTTCCTGGGGGTGGGGCCAGCATATCATCTTCGGCTATTTATCTGACAAACCCACAGGCCTAGGAGATGCTTTGAGATGGAACAAGAAAGCTGCTTCTGTTAATGGGTCGAGGGAACCCAAATGCTTTGGAAGAGCCCCAGTACGCGCCAGAAGCTTAAGACCCTGGTGACACCCGGCAAGGACACCTGTTGGACTCCCGGCTCTGGAACACATTGCAATCCGGGTCTGAGCCAACCCTCCAGCAGCAAGAAGCTGATGTGGTTTTAAGCCCCATATTAAGAAGTCCTCGTTTTCCTCCTCTCGCCCCAAAGCCAGACAGTCAGGTGGCAGTTGAGGGACACCGCCCCTGCCACCCGGGAGCTGGAGCGTGGGTCCGGGCCTGTCTGCCCACCCAGCACCTCCTCGGTCACAGCCCCTGCGGGAGCTGAGGGGTTAACCTCCTCTTCCTGTTTGCTCAGACTCAAGTTCATGACGCTGACTAATTGATTCCCCCTCCGCTAATGGAAAAATGTATCTGCTGGTAATAGATTAATCGGCCACTTGTGATGGGCCCTCCACTGAGGCTCTCCAGCGGTCACGCGGGGCCTGCCCAGCCCTCCTTCTGGAGCCAGGGAAGGGAGCCAGAGACCAGGCTCCAGGGGGGGTCGGGGGACCCGTGTTTCGCCAGCCACTGCCCCACGGAAGGCCAGCCGGCCAGTTCTGCCCCAGAGGAGACACACTCTGCGTTCCGTCCCACTCATTAAAATGCCAGTGTGCGAACTTGAAAAGAATGGAAATCTTATCAGCATAATGAGCCGGGGATGCGGGCACCCGGCCTCCTTACCCCACCGCCAGGGAGGGAGGGGCTCGCTCCCCAGGTGTAAAGTCATTCATTATAACAGCTACCGGTTTGCAAAATAACGATGGGCCGCACACTGCCTGCCTGGTGTCCTTTAATCCCGGTGACAGCCCATGAGGGAGGTGCTCCCGTCTCCTATTTGATAGATGGGAAACAGTGTTCAGAGAGATGCATCAACCTGCCCAAGGTCACACAGCACGGAAGTTACAAGAAGTGGCCTGGGGGAGATGGCAGGCCCTGAAACCCCCAAACTAGATCTTTTACCCTTGATTCCAAAGGTCAAAGAACAACTGCCATAAGCCACATCCAGCCCAGTGCCTGTGTTTAATAAAGTTTTATTGTTTCACGGTCGTACCCGTTCGTATACATCAGGTCTTTGCCTCACGCCTGCAGAGGAGCTATGGCAGCATCTCAGAGCCCAGAAACCCTAATGCACTTAGTATCTGCCCTTGACAGAAGACACAGCCCCCAGGAGGCTGAGGTCCCTGCCCTCAAGGGCTACTTGGACCTTAATGAAATGAAGACGGGTCACCTACAGGAGAAGGAGCCGGTGGGAACCGGGGGCCCCAGGGTTCACCACGGCTCCCCCAGGTCATGAGGAAGCTCACCTCTGAGCGTGCAGCAGAGGGGTCTCGGATCTGGACCGCCCCGAGGTCAAGCCCTGCCCAGTCCCTCCTGCCCAGTCCCTCCTGCACCCGGCTCCCTGGCTGGAGCAGCTGGACGAGGCTGAATGAGTGGCTGGTGGCTGCGGAGACCCGGGGCCTTTTCCTCCAAGCCTCCCCTGGAAGCACTTCCCTGATGGATTGGCCCTCCTCCTCCTCCTCCTCCTCCTCCTCCTCCTCCTC